GTGCCGTTAGTGCATGCGCCATGCTACGTCATTGCTCTATCACGTACGCACAGTCGCTTCGCGCAATATAAGGTTTGCTAGCTGTGGGACGAGTGGGAAACTTACTTTTGGGACGCGCCTCGTACATCCTCTTCTCTGAATGATCAGCTAGCTAAGCATTCCCTTTATCCTGTCATTATTTTATTGCACATAAATGATGAAGCAGCTTGCACTCTGGAAATAATAAGCAGTCATCTTGGCAAGGATAAGAATAAGGTTTTGCCCCTCCCCTCCTTACTGTCTCTTACAGAACCAGATGGAACTAATCTTTCATACTAGCCAAATTCACAAACTTATGTTAAGCTTAGGAATGCAAGACAGAAGCAAAGTATTGGAATGTGACAGTTTGTCTTGCATCTTTCACAATTATTATTATTATTTAGTGTTCTGTCTGACAACAGGTCCATATGAACAGGATTCTTCCATCCTTTTCTCGGACTGGGACCTGTTCATACACGTTCTTGGCAGATGATCCAGAAGTGGTTTGCCATTGCCTTCTTCTGTGTGTGAATGGAGTAATTGTTGGGATGCCACGGAGGAAAACTCCGTGTTGCCTAGACCACGGCCTTGCCCAACACAAGTTATAAATTCGGGCACCGCCGGTAATCGAACCCGAGACCCCGGGATTACAAGGCCAGCGTTCTAACCGCTAGACCACCGTGGCTATCTTTCACAATATTGTAAAATAATTATCAAATCCAAATTAGACATAAATTAATGTATTTATGAAGTACATAAAAATAAAACAATTCATAATGTAACAACAAATAATATATTTTGAACATGAACACCATTCTCATTTTTTCATACTGCATTGAACAACAAAGTATAATAAGTAAGATTTGAGGTTTTCACAGCGGTGAGTATGAAGATTTCTGGGTTGTTGCGCTGTGTAGTCTGGTCGATGTTAACCAACGTTTCAGAGGTCATACTGCCTCCGTCATCAGGGCGATGAGTATGAAGATTTCCGTCTTCTGGGTATAACAAACACAAAATTTCATATCACTTGGAATGACAGTTAATAGTAATCCCATACCAAATGTAAATGTAGGGAACACAGCTGAAAACACTCTATTTACTTGTTATTTTTTTCAGTGTCAATCCCCCCTCTCTACTATTGTCATAGAATTTTATCTTTGCGTAACTCTTTTCACTACCTTATCATGGCACGATCATGTTATTGATCAGAAATACAAAAACCGTGAGTGATCTCATTTGAGTTTCTTTAACTTCACAGTTTAACACAGCATCATTTTTCAGTGTCATACTTTCTGCAGGATACTTAAAAGTAATAACAAAAATGTGAGGAAATTGAAATTGTTGTGCATATAGAAGTGTAGTATATATATATATATGGGAAGAAGATGTGTGACAAATATTGGATAATGAATGTTCGGGCTAGAGTAGCTGTTAGTTTCAAATGATATTTGGTTACATCCCATGTTTGTTACCTTGCATATGAGTCAGATGTCCAGATTCAAGAAAGAATTATATAAATCTTTAAGCAACATTACAACGGGTGAGGGATTACTGTGTCTTGCTCCAAGCTGTACAATAAATAATCATAACACTACAATTGAAGATGACTTTCTGGCAGTCTTTGTTAGGTAACATCACATACTGACACCCACCGATGGTAAGTCACAGTGCAACATCACGGTACTTCTGCAGATCATCAGACTCGGACAGAGATGTCCTGCTCTTGTTGACAAACTTAGGTTGGCCATACGGGCAAAAATTGTGCGGCTGCAAAACATTGTACACCCTTCCCTCACACCACAAACTGCTACTACCATTGTGACAATATCGCAAATTATTGAGCTCTTCCATTGAACCTGCACGTCTTAATCTAGTGTTGTATCTTAGCATTCTTCTATCTAAGCTTTGGGTTGAATTCACAGGTACATAATCCACTGCTGTATAAGAGTTCATTCTCCAGAGGTCACTATTACTGAGGTCTCCTAGTGACTGTGACCTACTGAGCCTGTACTGGGGTGGCTCGATATCTTTCAATATGCCGGCAGCAAGCATTCCATTGAAAGTCACAGTGTTGAATTCACTCACCATGCCTGGGACATTAAGAACTCTGAAGTGTTGTTGGTTGCTGGGGTAATGACTGCCAAGTCTTATGCGATTATGAGCCACTGGCGATCTAGCAATGAGGATGATGCATGGTATTAGAGTAATGCTCTTTATAAAAAGTAAACAATCTTAAAACTTTGCATACCGTGTAGTGTATTAGAATATGGAGTGAACAAACCAACAACTATTAACACTATCATGAACATATTAAGAATAGCTCCTAAAGGTAAAATGCTAGATATCTTAGAAAAATTCCATATATACAAATGTAGTCAACAAAAAGCCATCATCAACGAACAAAACACCAAAGATCTAACGTATTATTTGACCTAGCATTAAACAGGAGAAAGTAATTTTTCAATAGTTGGCCACCCTGATTTCAAGTTTATATATACCCACGCATTTCCAACTGACAGTCTCTCGCCGACGGTTCTGGAGTTCACAGCTACAGACGACGCAAGTACAGCTCGCCTAGACCAGCAACAGCCACCGTACAACGGAATCAACAGCTAAGTGCGAGTTTTACTCCTGTGAATAACAGCATCTAGTGCAGTCATCTTGTCAATTACTTTTTATTTTAATTATGAAATTTGCTCGAACCATTTGACTATATGTATTAATTTCCCTGATGCCACTGATGATGACCTCTTGAGGTCGAAACGCGTATGGCAATAGCGTCCATTATAGTGTTAATAGTTGTTGGTTTGTTCACTCTATAAAAAGTAAACAGTTTTCATCTCCTTGCACATTCTTTGCTTCTTGTTAGAAAGAATAAAGACATCCAAAGTGCACTCACAAAACTTAATATAAATATACAAATGTTATGTACAGCTAATGTATTCATTGATAACAATCTGGATGAATCTCCATCTTTGATGAACACAAGATGGCTGGCCCAGGTTCAAATTTCAAGACAGAATACAAAGGACACAAACATAGAACGTACCTGGTTGTTTTATGTCTGCTGGCAACTGATGTTATGTTGCCAAGATTACTGGCTGATCCCACAAACGCAGCATTTGTGTAACCAGCATCTTGAACTATTCCGTTCTTTGGATGTCCATTGCCTGCTACGTTGGAAGCACTGTTTCCACTCTCCACAAGGATGGAAGCCTGCCACATATGAAACTTTATATTAATCCTTTAAAGTTCAATGGAACTATACGTCCCACCTGCTTTAACAATCAATAACTCTGTATTTTGTATTAGGTACTGTGTGAAACATGTGTACAGTCTATATGAATTTTTGTATAAACTCTTCTTTTTCAAAGATTTTATTGAGACATGTTTATTTTATAATGGAAGGGTTTCAACATGCAAATATGTAAGTGTGAACTTACTTTTGTTTGGCATACTACATAACTTCATAACACCATGACAGATGACTTTCTTTAGCAGTTGCTAGGAACTCAAGTGCTCAAGAAATTCCATATTATTACAAAAACCTAAAGATTCATAACATATTCACAAATGCTTGCACATGAATCCTACTCACAACCAGTTCAGTCAAGTTCATATCTCCATAATCTAACCTCAGAAGATGCAATCCTAAGTAAGCAGTGCCTACAGTAATGTACACCACCCACCAATCAGTATGTTACGGTAACAATAGTATCTGATAGTTCTGGATGATATGTGTTTTGGTAGGTACACACTTAAAGGTGTCATCTTGTATTAAATATAATTCATATTTATCCATAATAATTATTCCTTCACTTCAGAGTATAAATACATTTCTTTTTGTATTTCAATAAGTGTATAATACCAAACCGAAAAATACTTCACATAAGATAAAATATTTCATTTATATTTTGGTTATATTTTTTTCTACAACGTCTCAATTTTTTGTGTTTAATAGAATCTAACCAGACTTTATATTATTGTATTTGTTTTAGGTATGACAAATGTGATCTGATATATAAACAACAGTAATGCTGAACACAAGCTATTTAGTTGCTAAATGGGATTGAAATACATTAATTATAAAATACTTTCTCAACCATGAGATTGAAATAAATAATGGCCACTCAAATGGCAGCTGTCCACACATTATTGGTTGCGAAAAGTGCCCTTATTCACATGACATTGTTACTCAGAAAATATAATACAGCTTATGCCTTACATACTTTTGTCGGCAGGAAACCAAATTACAGTCTTTAAGATAGACTGTCACAATCATAAATCTAACATAAAAATGGCCTACTACAAACTGCAGTCACTCTTCAGAATATAAGAAATTTTAGTGAAAAGGATATACTTTTGCATTTAGCAATGGTTGTTATTGTCTTGGTAAACAAAATGGGAAGGGATAAATTAAAGGGAAACTTATACTGTTAAAATAATATTTTAAAAAATATATATCCATACAAACCATGTTCAAGGCTTGCAGTCTCCTTAGAACCACCTTCTCCTCTTTCCATGTTGAGTACAAGGACTGTACACACATTAGACCAGCAATCTGCATAATAAGACATGCAGAATTGTAGCTTAAAATTGAGCTGTCTTGCTGTAAAAAGAGTTACCAACTTCTAGAGTTGTGAAGTCCAGTATATCTCAAAACGTGTATATCTGTTACTGACCCACTTGTCTCTTATTTGTGTTACTTCTTTATATCATCTCTTTTTTTAATTTTAGCATAGTCTCGACCCACCGCAACAATAACTTATGCATGTGCCAGATGGCAGCAAGCATGGTAAGTACATCATTATTATTATTTAGTGTTCTGTCTGACGACAGGTCCATATGAACAGGATCCTTCCATCCTTTTCTCGGACTGGGACCTGTTCATATACGTTCTTGGCAGATGATCCAGAAGTGCTTTGCCATTGCCTTCTTCTGTGTGTGAATAGAGTAATAGACATCAGGGAGCACATAAACAAACAGGAAGAAATAAATAATATGCACAAAAATTTTTGTTCCCAGTCGTGACTAACCTGTAGGTTTTAACAGCAAACTCTAAATTATCTACATCACTGGTGAGGGTATATTCCACTCCTGAGTTACAGATGTTCAGAGACAATTATTTTTGTATATGGATACAGAAAGAAATCTTCAATACCCAGATATGTGAGGAAACTAACAATGAAAATGTATAATGTATATAAGAACAATTTTGTGAAGGTGTGGTGACAAATAATAAACAACACTGAACACAATATATATATATCAGACAGGCTTAACATAAAATATTAGTATGCATTGCCATCGGCTCAGATTTTTCTTTGTATTTAAACTTTAAACCATATTTTAATCTGTTTTTTTTCATTATTATTATTAGAAGGGGCAAGGTCCTTTAAATTTATGTTAGTTCAAGCATATACTTCAGTGATGTGACTTACATTAAATACAAGTCGACATGCCCAACAGATGAGTTCTGTTAATCCATTCAGAGATTTCACTTGCTGTAACAAATCAAAGAAATTTCACATCAGTTTACAGCTAAAAGGATACTTAATTACACACTCCTTTTACTCTGTCAATGAATTTACGTTGTTTACAAATACGTGATAAATTTTTCTTGTGTGTAATGGGTAGATCTATTTGTAGCTTATCATTTCTCTAGGTGAATACTTTGTTTTGTATTATGTGAAATTTATGTAATAGTACAAATTGTACTTTATAATATGTATTGTATTATTATTATTTTTATTATTATGACTTTTTCCACATCCTATTGTCATCTGACTGTCTTATGGAACCATGGAATGTAAATAAATTATTATTATTATTATTATACTATTTGCAAACTTTTTATAAACACAATAAAGAGTATTTCCAGTCTTGATATTAAGATTCCTTAAACATTAGTGATGATCTTAAACTAACTCCAGGCAGTAGATTCCTTCTTGTGAAGCTAACAGTCGCTCAGGTATTCAGGAAATTCCCTGCCTTTTATATAATCCAAAGGTTCATTACTATACTCATAAAATCCCACCATTGGTCCCCATCCTGAGCCAGATGACTCCAGTTCACACTCTCTAATTCTAATTTCTTAAGATCACAACCCTCATTGTACAAGTGGCTACGATTTTATCCACAACTTTATATCTTTAATCAGGATTAGGGAATAAATAACAAGCCACAGAGAATATTAGTTAATATGCATGAGCAGGTAACTTTCTGACCACATATTAATAGCGATGGTCTTGATTTCGGTGGATGCAAACTGGTTCCATTTTATGTGTAATGTACCATGTTACCTGTTGAACTCACACACGAGGTGAAACTGGCACTTTGGAGTCTTTGGACCTCAATTTCCTGTACCTAAAAATCAGTAGTTTGGCTGCTAGTACCATGGCATAACTATCTCATAATACCAATATAATTGAGATCAAAGAGTTAGTTTTAATTCTGGTTCTGAAGAACAATGTCTGTGATACAGAATACAGAACAGAGCGTTTATACTGTTGCAATATGTAAATTGTGACATGACAAAATAAGCAAAAACAGGAGTACAAGAGGTCCGTACACTGTTTCTGAAATACAATGTATTGCACTGTGTACCACATGTCATATCATTCATATTTAGGCATTTCTCATGAAGAACACCTTTTGAATGGCAATGTATCCCCTCGAGGAGCAGAGATCAGACTACGACAGGTACCCTGGTCCTCCAGTTTGGGGGTTGGTCGCAAGGCTAACAACCTCGCACCGTAAAAAGGAAGATGTTTCGGAACCTCAATCAAAGCCTCAGACAGACGGACCTAACAGAGGACCGAATGGAAGAGGAGAATTGAGGAGGCCATGGACCGAATACGGACCGGAGAGCCATAGAAGAAGACTCCAAAAAGTATATTTTTTCAATCATGTTAGGTGTTTATGCTCTAGTATGAGCAAGGGACACTTTACTGCCACGTTTATGTGTCTCTACTTCCTACGATATAGGCAACCTACAAGACCAGGGTCACAGCTGTGTAAGAATGGGAACTGTGGTCCCACTGTTGGAACACAACAATCATAAATCCATACATAACAATTTGAACCAAGACGACTGTTGAAACACACTACTGTGCAACAATGACCTATTAATATGTCTGTCTTATAAGTTGTAGCACTGTGTGGTCGCGTAGAAGTTTTATCATTGTTTCAGAGGTCCTTGCGGCCTCCATAATCAGGGCAGTAAGCTATGTCCAGCAAAGACCTGTCAAATGATAGTATTTCTGAAATATTTTTATTTTGCATAAACAATTTCAAGAAGTGGGAGAGTTAAATACCTCGGATGTGTTGTTAATAAAATGGTATATGCGAAGAAATTTGGAAACAAATTCAGTAAATGATATTTTTATTTTCATAAACTCCTACTTAATGTCTGATATAGTTTTAAAAACATGTAACTGATTGAACAGGTTTGTGACAGTGGGTTCCTATTACTATGGAATTATTTTATTTGGACGGTAAAAAGAATACAACATTTTGGCGGCTGTACCCCCAAAAACAGAGACAAATAATGATTATTTTGTTCGCCGTTTTCTGATATAATATTTTCTTACATGAAGGGAGAATAAAAATGTAATGTATTTTAAAATTAATGGAATTTAAGATCACAATACTTAAGAGAATATTTAGACAGAAGAGAAAGGCACTCAGTAGGGGATAGATGATGATAAGTTATTACATACCCAAAAATGAAAAGTCATGAAGAGAACAAGTCCAGCCTCTGGAAATGTAAACATTCCAACCATGAACAGCCATCCCAGTAGGCACAAGGTCCGTTTCTGAAAATTCAATTTATTCTTTTATAAGCCAAATAAAATGTTATGGCACATTTGAACTTTTCAACCACAAAACATAGAAGTTAACAATATCTGAACCCTTGATTGTGCTGATTTGATCATCATGAACCAGCAGTTTGTTCCCTGCCAGTAAACCACTTTTGTACATGAGATATGTCTGCTATACCATCCAATCTGATTGATCATATGAGGATTACTTTTAGCTCTGTATTAATTCCTATGTCTGAACCATACAACACATTTAATTTTCAACATTTTGTTGTACCTAATCTTTGATACATAGGTCCAGATTGTGCTAAACAATTTTTATGAACTAGACCGGTTAAGTCTTTAACAGTCTTAAAACTTTGAATACCGTGTAGTGTATTAGAATATAAAATAAGCAGGTAAACAAACAAACTATTAACACTATAAAAAAGACACTAGTGCCATATGCGTTTCAACCTAAGGAGGTCATCATCAGTGGCAACAGGGAAATTAATGTAATCAACTGGGAACGACCCATTCTTCAAGTGCCTGAGCACTGCGGGTCCCAACTTTTCGTTGGCTCGATCTATAGACATTCGGTGGGACTCCTTGGACGAGGGATCGGCCCGTCGCAAGGCCTCTACCTGTACACAGGACAGCACAACACAACATTCATGGCTTGATTGGGTTTCGAACCCACGGTCCCAGCGACCTAGCGGCACAAGGCCCACGCCTCAGACCGTGCGGCCACTGCGGACCCCAATTTAATCAAAATGGTTTAAAACTGGTCTAAATATGGTTTAGAAAAGTGAAGTGAAAATGACTTACCACTGTTAACCCATGAAGAAGAAGGGCTGAGAGGATGAATACAAACAAATAGCCTGCACACAGAACATAAGCTGGTACAGGCAGTGTCACTATAACAACAAAAAACAAACAATGAAGTGCACAGAGCAGAGCAAATGATAGTTATTCGGCTAGTCAAGAAATTCTGTCTGGAGCTCAAAGGTTTGGCAGTACATGCACAAAAGTCTGGATCGTGATCTACTCAGGACAGATTCCAGGTTACTCTGAATATGAATCTGGCATGTTTTACCAAAATCACAAAGCCTTCAAATCCAACAAACTTGAGTAAATGCTTTTGTTCTTTTAAAATATAACACATAACTAAGAGCATAAAGTAAGTGTTCACAAATAGATGGTGTGAATGGTTATTCAAGTCCATCTAATGCTGAGGTTAAGAACGTGAGGAGCTATTTTTCTAATCCTTCACATATCAGTATGGGATGGTGTTAAAACACCAAGGATAGTGCTACGTTTATGTTTACCTTTCCCTTAGAGATTTAAAGAGTGCAACATATAAACAAACCTTCAGCTTCAAGTATCCACCAGAGTTCAATCGTGAATGCCACCACATACGCAACCTGCAACATATGTAAAATGGTATTTTACACTCACGAGTATAAGAAACTCTTTGAGTGGTACAGAGACTGTGTTAGCCAGACTAACATGGTTAGCACCAATGTTCTGTTCCTAGCGCAATATCTCATTAAATCAAATTAGTTTACGGCTGACTTATTCTACTGCCAGTCAATACCTTCTGTCACAGAATCCGAATTCCCATTACTATTATCACAGAAACCTAAAGATAGACGTGAATTTGAACGAGCTCAATCCAGCTCACATATCCACATATTTCCCTAAGATTCATTTAAATATTATCTGGTCAGGTGGATTGAGTGTAAAGCATCATGATCTGCGGATACCATGGTAGAAATGTCTCGGCTATTGTAGATTGTTCTAGAAATGACTGGTTTGTCCCTGTTATTAACGTGGTGAACAACCATCAACTGCTGAAGGACGATTCTATATCGTAAAGTAGTTACCACTCGTACTTCATATATGACCTTACCCACTTAGATCCTTGATCGCGCCACCATCTACCCAGTACTCTGTCAATTCGTCTGTATTTCTACGCAGACGCCATCTTATTTCCATTCTTTCTGCTTCACTACACATATTCATCTCCACATCTCACCTCAAGCTGACAACTATTACCGTTGGTACAGAGTCGTTGCATCACCTAACCCCCTCCCCTCCAAAGAAAAACAGATGGAATACAGAATGTCCCAAAAATATGTATACACACAACCATTACATACGTCAGCATTGTATATAGACGTTTTTGGGACACTCTTTGTGTTCATAAGACGCCCTATACCCTCAGTTAATGTCTACGGTATACATAAAAGTGACTCATGAAAAGAAAAACAGCTGAATCAACTGTCCAACAAGAGAAACGGAAGTTGCATCACAGTTCACACCGAAGTTCGCTGTTGGATCCTATTCTCAGCCAGTTCAATTCAGTTTACTCCTTCCAACAGAAGACCTACCACACTGAAATTCTCGTAGACTGCGGGAAACCACAAAAAGGTCGTCACTGTAGCCAACATTCGAAGGTTACCGAGGCATAGCCCAAACCATTATGTTAATTAGAATTCCGTTTTGTGTGTCGTGGGAGAACTGCCCGACGGGGTGTTGGAAATGGCTGGCTGACTGAAGCCATCTGAAAGCCTGACACTGATCACCTGTGATTCTGAATATCCAGGCTGACCTCTAGCTACAACTGTCATTTTTTACCAGCAGCGAAATAGGACGTTGCGGTTGACTAAGTTACAGCTCCTGATTCGTATTCAGAAGATCCCAGGTTCGAATCTCGGTGAGGATACCAGACATGCTAAGGCTTTTCGTGGAAGTTCTGGTACAGAACGTTGAATCAGGCCGATCACTACCAATTAATTATTCTCTAATCGTCCTATAACTCGAGGCTATAATTCGAACTGAAATATATAATTAAATAAATAAAATAGTATTCAAATCTGATCCGGAAAATGTGGACTACTCAACACTGCGCCGATGAATGTGGATCAGTTGGCAGACGGACTGAGAAGAACCACGTAAACAGCGGGGATTGAACTCATACCTCCTGAAACAGAAGCGGTCATGCGTGACGAACACCTGGCAACCGACGTGACTCCCACCTTATAAGAGCTGGCTTTCCAAGATGGCTTATATGAGTGTATGAAGTGACAGCAAAGGTTTTCAATGAGCTAATTAAATTTCCTCGCGTTGCATCCGTCATTTGGACAGCGGTTGTCTGCTTGTGTTTCTTACTCCTTGTCAGTTGGATGGCGGCCATATTTAGGATGTCTACCGTTCAACCTACTATGGGTTGCATACCAAAGTGTGTGCAGTGGCGTTATACAGCGTGATGCTTAGAATGAGAGGTGTGTTATAATAATACGTGTCCTTCTTCGAAAAAGGAGTACGGAGCATTTCTGTGGCTCTATTTTCGAATTACTTGACATAGGAAATTGGTTGCCTTTTCTAAACCTAACATTTGCAACACTTGACCGGAGGCCCAGAACTCCATCTTGAATTCGTATATAAAACCATACTTAAAAAGTGTTAAGCTCCCTAAGGATTTAAGAACATCTGGAACTGTAAATAGCTTCTTGTCAATCAAAGCCAGAGGGCGGAAAGAAACCCACCACACAAACGCAGTTAAATTTCATACATGTTCAAAAGCGATAAGTTTTAGTTGCAAATATTCTTTAACACGAAGTGCTAAGTAACCAGGCAAATGTAAGGGAGCTGACAGTTTCGTAAAATAAAACGCAAATAAACAATAAATGAGATGAACTAAGAAGTCACCGGCTGTGTTTACATGAGAACCTTTGTGGCTTATACACTTTCCTAATCTAATCAAGTACGGGCTCAGCGTTCTCCTCAAATGTAGAATAAAACATACAGAAATTTGGTGGGGAAACTTCATGAAAACAGGCACTTGGAAGACAGAGACATCGCCTGGCGGAAAAATGTTAAAACGTGTCTCAGCGGCAATAACATTTACGAAAACGAAGTGCGGACTCAACGGGTTGACAATCGTGTCTGGTTGTAGATTGGTTTGCAAGCGGCACTGAACCTCCGGGCTGAAATATCAGAAAGTTCGTCAGG